AGTCTGAGTGAAAGAGGGTCTACCCTAGCAAACCTTTTGTATCGTTACCCCAATACCCCATGCATATGGGATATATTGAGCATGGTGATGAGATCATGATATGAATAAACATAACAGTTTAAATAATGTACCAGTAAGGCCTTCTCGCGGACCACCATGAGGCTACATGCCTGCCCACCATGGTTAAATTAAAGAGCCTTAGCAATAAGGTTATGTATACATGAAGTACTTTGGCCCCTAGTGGTAAATCAGGAAATCCACAATTCAGAGCTTCACAGTGCATGTAGTGTTTTTAGGCAAACTACTGCCTTTTAGTTTCAGTTTACTTTGTCCAGTATAACGATACCAAGACAGTTCTATTTTAGAGAAAGCCACTGCAATGCAACAGTTAAGAGTGATGAAGTAAGACTTGGGAAATCCAGGTTCAATTCCCACTGAGCCATGAAACCCACAGGGTGATCTTTGACTATTACCTCTTCCTCATCTCCCCAAAAAAGTCACTAGTTTTTGGGAAGATGAACTTATTCTGTGCTTCCTTTGAACTAATTGGAAAATGTGTTGTATATGTGCACATGCACACAAACATACACACATGCATAGATATATACAAATGGTTATGATAAGAAATAATGAGAGAGTTAAGAAAAGTGTGAAATTCAGGCAGATTGAAAAATAGTTCCTTTTTCATTAAAGGGTTTCATGTAAAAAGAAAGCAATTTCATAGAGGTCTTATTGTAGTTCTCATTGCTATGCGTCTTCAAATTGACTCAAATTTATGGTGACTTTATCCTAGGATTTTCTTGGCAAGGATATTGCAGTTGCTTTCCTCTGAGGCTTAGAAAATATGACAGACCTGACTGAGCAAAAATTCAAAGAGGTTACACCTTGTTTTCTTAATCTCTCTAGAGGTTGCTAGATAGGTTGAAAACAATAAAAATGCTTTTTTGTTATGTTCATAGCAACAGGAAGAACAAGGAATTGGAGAAGGTGGTGAAATGCTAACAGGGGACAGAGGAAAGACATAATTGCACAACACTCTCTTTGCCTCAGTCTTCTCCTAAAGGGAAAACAGCACTTAACCTGGAGGAAAAGCAACAGACGAGGCACTTGGCGAAATGCAGCACAGAATAGGTAAAGAGGCAGTACAGGAATATCTGGCTACTCTAAATGAATTCAAGTCTCAAGGGCTAGATGCATTACATGCAAGGGAATGCCAGAAGCCAGAAGTAATCTCAGAACAACTGGTAATAATGTCTAAGAATTTCTGGAGGACAGGAAGGCAAAAATGTATCTACAGCACCATCAGCCTGACATCAATACCAGAAAATATTCTAAAGCAGATTATTAAAACAGACAGTTTGTAAACACTTAGAAAGGAATGTCATGATTGCTACAATATAAATTTCTCAAGATTAAGTCATGGCAGCCAATTTTATCTGTTTTATATAGAGTTACAGACTTAAAAGATGAAGGGAATGCTGTGGATGTAATATATTTTTATTTCAGTAAGGAATAGAAGGCATGCTGATCAGATTTGCAGGTGACACCAAATTGGTATCTAGCTGATATACCAATGACGGGATCAGAATTCAACATGATACTTAACAGATTGGGGAGATGAGTCAAAGTAAACACAATTAATTCCAACAGAAATGGACTACACTTAAGTAGAAAAAAAATGGAAAGGCACAGATATAGGATGGCTGAGACTGGCTTAAAAACAGTACATATGAAAAAGATTTCAGAGTCTTAGTAGATTACAAGCTTCGTGTGAGGCAACAGTGTGATGCAGAGGCTTAAAAAGCCAATGCGATTCTAGGCCACATCAATAGGAGTATGATGTTTATACTAAACGAAGTATTTTTCTTTGGTTAGACGTCACCTGGAAATCTGCGTCCAGTTCTGGCCACCACAGTTCAAGGAGGATATTGAAAAGCTGGAACATGTGCAGAGAAAAATGACCAAAATGTGAAAAGGTTTAGAAACCATGCAGCTTAGCGTGTTTAGCCTGAAGAAGGGAAGGTTAAGGGGTAACATGATAGCCATGTTTACATATTTAATAGGATGCCATTGAGGGGGATGTGAGCTTGTTTTCTGCTGCTCCTGAGACAGGGAGAGGGAACAATAGAATCAAATTACAGTAAAAGAGATTCTACTTAAACATTAAGAGCTCTTTGATAATAGAAAACGGCCTGAGATTCTAGTGGAGCCTTGTTTTCTGGAGGTTTTTAAACAGAGACTGAATGGCTGTCTGCTGAGTGTGCTTTGATTGTGTATTCCTCCATGGCAGGGAGTTAAAACAGGATGGCTCTTTTGGTCTCTTCCAACTCTACGATTCTAAACTGTGGTCTAGTCTAATCCTTAAATAACTACACCAAAAATATCAGTAATAACAATCATCACACATTGCTTTATTTTTTATTTAAAGAGTTTGAGTGGGATTTCTTTCTGAATAAATGTTCATAGGATTATGTTCCTGATAAGATAGGAAAGAGAAACTCTGGTTTCCTGTGAGATTTGCCTTCTTGCTGTTTCCCTCCTTTTCTCATAGTTTCTTCTGTTAGTGTCCAAGATCTGTTGCTTAAGTTGCTCAAGCCCCACCACATGCTAGAAGTCTAAGGATTCTGGTTTTACTTGCTTTTCTTTCTGCAAATACAACTTCATAATGGCTCCCTTCACATCACGAGTTTTAATCTGTCCAGAGATTTAACCTACTCAGGTGCAAAGAGGAAATCTTACATTTAGAATTGGGTGCCATCCCCAAGATATCTCGTTATGTATGGATATGCAAATTCAGGTATTTCAAAATCAAAAATTCAAAACAATCCCAGTTGCAAGCATTTCAAATACTCAACTTGTAGCTGTATTTGAATATAGGAGGCTGGGTCAAAAAGTGTTGCCTCCTGTGTCATAAAAACATTATGAATGAACATATGACATCAGAAATTGCTACAGATCATAACCTGAACTATCCTCTACACTAGTGGTTCTCAACCTGGGGGTCGGGACCCCTGGAGGGGTCACGAAGGAGTGTCAGAGGGGTCACTAAAGACCATCAGAAAATATAGTATTTTCTGTTTGTCATGGGGGTTCTATGTGGAAAGTTTGGCCCAATTTTGTCATTTTTGTGGTTCAGAATGCTCTTTGATTGTAGGTGAACTATAAATCCCAGCAACTACAACTCCCAAAATATCAAGATCTATTTTCCCCAAACTCCACCAGTGTTCACATTTGGGCATATTGAGTATTTGTGCAAAGTTTCATCCAGATCCATCATTGTTTGAGTCCACAGTGTTCTCTGGATGTAGGCAAACTACAACTCCAAAACTCAAGGTCAATGCCCAACAAATCCAATATTTTCTGTTGGTCATGGCAGTTCTGTGTGCCAAGTTTGGTTCAATTCATCGTTGGTGGAGTTCAGAATGCTCTTTGATTGCAGGTGAACTATAAATCCCAGCAACTACAACTCCCAAATGACAAATCAACTCCCCCAAACCCCACTAGTATTCAAATTTGGGCGTATAAGGGTATTTGTGGCAAATTTGGTCCAGTGAATAAAAATACATCCTGCATATCACATATTTACGATTGATAGCAGTTGCAAAATGACAGTTATGAAGTAGGAAGGAAAATAATTTTATTGTTGGGGGTCACCACAACATGAGGTACTATATTAAGGGGTCGCAGCATGAGGAAGGTTGAGAACCACTGCTCTACACAAAACTTCAACTCAACATAGACACCATCAATTTGTACATATTTGAGCCATCGTTTAACCCAGGCATCAAAACCATTTTGGAAAAATTCAGGGTATTGCTTCATGACCCATGATTTTAAACCTGTTTTAACATCATTTAAGTCATCAAATCTGAAACCACATAGGTTGTCTTTCAGAGGTCCAAAAATACAACCTACATGGTTTCATATTCAATTACTTGAATGACTGGCTAGAGTTAAAGTCAAAAACACCTGGAGAAGCAAAGTTGGGTACCATTGATCTAGAGCAGGAATTCTTAAACTTTTCCCACTTGTGACGCCTTTCCAACCAAGAAATGTTTATGTGATCCCAGGATATAGGTACTGTATATAAAAAAGGTATAAAAATCAAACATTTAATGATAATAAATCCACATTTGCAAGGATTGCTAAGCAGACTGGTTTTGCTTTTTATGAAGTACAGCTGAAGCATTTTCTACAGTGTCCACTGTAAACACTGAATTGTATTTGTATAAATGTCTAGGTGACATTCAGAAACCTTTTACTGTTGCCAAATTTTTCAGAACACCAACATTGAGCTAAGGGGACCGCATTTGGGGTCAGGATCCACAGTTTAAGATGCAACGATCTTGAACAATATTTTCAAACTGTTTATGTAATGCTTTATCTTTTTTATATTCTGAACCATTTTGCTTTGCATTGTATGTTTTTACACCGGTGTTTGACAGATACTTCAATAAGGAAGCAGCAGTAGCCAGCTTCAAATGTGCATGAAATCTTAGAACGGCTACATTGGACCTCATGCTTCTGGGCTACCATCTGCTGCATCATTTACAACCAGTAAAGCTTATGCTATAGTAGTACTTTTCAATATTCAGCACTGAAAAACCCTAAGAAAGACCTGAAACTACACACAATTCTAGAGCATGACAGGCAGTATATGAATCCCCTGCCCATCTTTTTCTACACAGACTAGATCTATACTGCCATATGATGCAGTTTCAGTCTGCAGTTCAATGCAGTTTAATTGTATACTGTGAGTCTACACTGACCATATAATGCAGATTCAAACTAAATCATATGGTAGTGTAGATCCAGTAGTGAGATGTATGAGCAAGCAGGAATTTGAATTCAGGTCTCACTGATCCCATCAAACAGCCTTCCAGTAGGGAATGGCAGTGAGAATGTTCTTTAGTTATTTGAGCTCTATACACAAGTTCTTAATCAGACTCAAGGAAGTGAGAAGCTTGTTTTGTTAATGCCATTTTCTTTGTCTTTTTTAGGCCAGGTCAAAGTTTTCAGAGCCCTATATACATTTGAACCCAGAACGGTAAGCATTTACCTTTCCCCTTCAAGAAATAAGAAAAAGTTTTTTAAAAAACATGATTGTGCAGCTAATTCCAATCTGGCCTATTCAAGAAATGTATGAATAGGCTTTCTGTTTTATGCATAAAGATGAAAGAACAGAGGTTTGTAGAAGCCATTGCTGTTGTTTCACATTCAATGAACTTGGTGATAAGTAATGCCTTATTAACATGTAAGTTTGTACATTGCCCTAACAAGCCACATGAATATTAACCAAGACTGAATTTTTATTCCTTGTGTTGCCAACAGTCCTGAACAAAGGATCTGTGGCAAGCATGCGTCATGGAAATGACAGCCAACCATGCAGCAATTGATTTGGTATCAGTTGAGACCAAATTTGATTCCCAAACCTTCTGATTTGTCATTCTGTTTTGATGTTTTTGTTGTTTTCTTGTTTTGATTACATGCCTTAGTTTGGACTGCATTATTCTACTCCATTGTTTTAAATACTTCATTTATTTACTTAACTGATATCCATCCTTTCTTCCCGTATGGGGCTCAAGCACCTTTTACACTGTCTTTATATCCCAGGATCCGATCCCAGGTTATCTGCTTTGAACTGGATTATATGAGTCTCCACTGCCATATAATCTGGGATAAGTAGATAATCTGGAATCAGATCCTGGGGTATAAAGACAGTGTAGAAGGGGCCTTTCGTACTCCCACAGAAACCTCCTCTGTTTTCTTCCTTATTTAGGAGAGGTTAGTCTGCATATTGTAAATAGCCATTATGGGACGGATCCAGAGTTAGCCCCTTCCCTTTAAGATATCCCCTTCCCCCTCCCCTTCCAAAATCTTCCCCAGGTGTCTGGAGCCTCTCAGCTAGACTCAACTGCATCTCTGGAAGTCAGCCATTAGACCAGGAGGTGTCAGAGGAGTGAAGATGCTAAAAATATTCCACGTCAAGGTTGATAGGAAATGCTTGATCAATAGAAATTAAACAGTTGGTTCTGTAAGCAAAGTGGCTTTGCTGAAGGTACAGAGACCAAAGAAGAAAAGACAACGGACAAGTAGGCAAAGATCACTGTTAGAACAAATCCCAATCTTTTAAGAGACTTTTGCCAGTTAGATTAGGAGGAGTTGGGTTGCTAGCCTTGCTGTTGTTTTATTAAAGTGTTTATAAATGGTTCCTCTGAGCATATCAACTCTGATCCCAATAAGATCAGGACACCTCCATGCAAACAGCTTGCAGGGGCAGAGCAGGGCCACTGAATGCTACAAAACTGTGCCTGAACACTACCCTGCAATTTATCAAATTGCTCCTGACATGAAAAAAACAAACAAACAAACCTACCCTGCTTTCTGCAAGTGTGAAGGATAGCATTTTTGTTTTTTAATAAATTAAAATACATACAGACACACACATCTTCTTTTGGATGTGCATGATCTCCTTGCTGTAGGATTAAACCCAAACTGATTGTGTGGATAAGTCCTACATACTGTTCACATCAGTGTAAAGGATCACTGAACAAACAATTCAAAAATGACAGGAGAAGTAGGAGTGGAAATGTCCTATAACTTTTAGACAGAGAAGGTTGTGAAAGAGAAGTTGTTGGGCCTCATCTTCTGCAAATGTGTCACAGGGTAAAGCTGTGTCATCTAGGATTTTGTGGAGCCTCCATACAGAGAGCCAACAAGGTGAAGTAGTTTGAGCATTGGATTATGACCTTGGAAACTGAGGTTTGAAATGCCTCTCAGCCATAGAAATCCACTGTATGATCTTGGCATGTCTTACATTAGAGGAAGGCAAAAGCAAGTCCTCTCTGAACAAATATTTCCAAGAAAAAACCATGATATGCTTGCCTTAGGATCACCATAAGTCAGAAATAACTTGAAAGGCACACCAAGTCTATTGATCTAAATCATTTGAAAAGAAAGCATTCTGCTAAAGGTGACAGTCAATCACTTGGCCATTGAAAAGAAGATCTGAAACAAAGAAAAAAATCTTTATGATGCAGAATATTTTTCTCTTGCTGATTTCCACCACATCTTCTGGGTAAAAGTATAAAGACAGCTTTCCCTGTTTCCAATAACTCTACAGAGTCAGCTAACCTTATGCTATAGCATGTGAGATTATTACTACAACATTGGATGAGACATATATTTATTGTTAACTAAATGCTTCATTAAAAAAGCAGGTTGTAATTAATCTAAGTCAATTAAGCTTTTGTTAAATGAAAGTGCTAAGGCAGGAACACTAAAATCATGTTGACCGCGGTTGTTGATAGGTGCAGTTCAACAACATCTAGAGCAGAGCTTTCCAATCTGTGTTGAGACACATTAGTGTGTTGGTTGCAGTGTGCAGGTGTGTTGCATGAAAATAATGAAACATGACAAAAATCTTGGAAATGTATGATGTATCTTACAATAATATTTTAAAATATATATAGATATATAAATTTTTGGTTGTGTCAGGAGTGACTTGAGAAACTGCAAGTCGCTTCTGGTGTGAGAGAATTGGCCGTCTGCAAGGACGTTGCCCAGGGGATGCCTGGATGATTTGATGTTTTTATCATCCTTGTGGGAGGCTTCTCTCATGTCCCCACATGAAGAGCTGGAGCTGACAGAGGGAGCTCATCCGCCTCTCCCCGGATTCACACCTGCGACCTGTCGGTCTTCAGTCCTGCCGGCACAGGGGTTTAACCCACTGCGCCACCGGGGGCTCTGTGATATATAAATGAAATGTTTCCATGAGATATGTTGTGTTCCCATACATTTCATTATTACAATTTATGTATATATCCATACCACTTACAAGGTGTTGGTTAACTTCAGGTTGACCAGTAAAATTGTTATGAAATGATGTATGCCTAAGAAGTATGCCACCAACAAGAAATGTTTGGAAAGTTCTGATCTAGATGGTGAAATATCCACTCCTGTTGTAAACACAAGTCTCAAGATGGTCAGCTCACCAAGCAATCTTTGCCCAGTACTCTACTGTCCCATGTTCTTGATCTGCTCTCCTCTGTCCTTTTTTCCCTTCTCCTTCCTTCACATACCAAGGTCTGTTTTGGTATCACATAAAAGAGAACAGCCAACTTTGCAAATTGTACTCAGAATAAATGTGTGTGCCATTCTGTCTTTTTCTAGAAAGGGAAGGGAAAAAAAGAGCATAAGTTAGAGTTTCATCTTTTGATATATTTGGTATAAAATTTCTCTTTCCAGGGGACAAAGAAAGAAGAAGTATTAGAGGTCATATAGAGATGATCTTTACTCACCATAGATGACAAAGTTAATCATTTCTGTTAACTGGATTTTGAATCCTTGTGTTGGGTTTATTTGAATTTCCCCTTGGCTTGTGCCAAGAGTACTTCTTTTTCATCATAAGACTAGGGAACAATGACCATTTGTCCAGAAATATGGAAATGCAGGCTACTTCTGGAATCAACCTGAGGAGCAAAATGTGTTGTCTGTACTGTAGCAAGGAACAGTGATGGGAAAGGTATTATGGAGTCTATGGGCTTCTGTAAATTTATTTTACACAATCCACTGCTTATTTTTATGTATGGATGATGTTTCTTGTATCAATTTAATATGCTTTGTTGTTATTTTCATACTGATTTTAAATTGTTATTATTTGTTTTTTTTAATTTAATTTTAAATTGGTTATATGTTTATTATTGTTCATATTGTTTGAACTGTCATATTGTTAAGCTGTCCTGAGTCACCTTGGGGATATGGGACGGGATATAAATGATGATGATGATGGCTAAGTGTAAATGATGACAGTAGAGAAAAACAGTGAAATATATGGGGAGTCCATGTTATTTTCCTGATCTAAATCACCTTCTTTCTTCTCCTGCTGTTAGCACATAATATATACTACAAGCATAACGGAAGTAGTTTGTCTCCTACAGTACCAGAAATAGTTTGAGGTGTTTTGGTATCTAGGATAATGGACACTAAACCTTTTTCCTAGATAGATCATCTACTTTAATTAAAATAATCGGTCAGGATAACCCAACTGTAAATCCTTCATCTTGTGAAGATTGCCCCTTATAGCTATTTATCTGGAATGGTAGGAAACAGATATTGATTCTATTTTTTTTAAGTCCTAACCTACTATGCTTGCACCCAAAGCTGATTCTTCCAAGCCTCTGCTTCCATTTTGAGATTTAAATCTTGACCACAGAACAAATAACTATAATATCTGACCTCTTTTTCTTTTCTTTTTTTTTTTTGGTGGCCAAACTTTTTCTTCCTTGTCTTAATTTTTGTAATGACTAGCCCAAGAATTCACAAGAACTCAAAAGCATGTACCACTTTTATGGCATTTTGGTGGACCTAAGAAAAGGTATTGTCGAATTCTGATTATGGGGTGAACTCATGAGTTACACAAACACTTTTGTTATCATATATTGTTTATTTTTCCCACGGGAAACCAGTAGGTGGCATCAAGGGACAGCAAAAATCCATTTTCTTTTGCATTTCCTTGGATTTCTGCATTGTCCTTGGGGGGAAGGATGTTAAGCACAGTTGCAGAGCAAGGGATTCTCAGTTCTAAAATCTTGCTTCCATTTCTCATTTTTGGATAATCAGTGCACTATTTGACCCTTTCTCTGAGTCCTTTCTTCCCATTTTCCAGTGAAGTGGGAACAATTTATGTTATGAAAATAGTTTTACACTTGCTCCTCTGTTTAGATTTAGCTCGGAGCATTTTCTTCCAAGCAGCTTCCATGGCTCCACCAGTCCTTACACCTGTGATTGCTTAGGATCACCTAGCTCCTCTTTTTTACTTGATTGTGAACAACAGTAAGTCACACAGTCTTTCAAATTTTCCACAACCAAGCAAAAAAGTGTTGTGGCACTGGGGGAAATATAAAATTGTGAGCATGGAGGCACCTGTTTCTTTCTCTGAAGAAAAGCGACGACCCTTGCTGATGGTGGCTCCTCTCCTCTCATCCACACTGAAGAATTATAGCAGTTTGACACCACTTTCATTGCCATAACTCCATTCTGTTGGGATCCTGGAATTTGAGGTTTCATGTGGTTTCTTGTGGTGCCAGAGCTCTCTGACAAAAAATAGTAAATATCTCATGAAATTACAAACCCCCAAATCCCATAACATTGAGCCACGACAATTAATGTGGTGTCAAACTACTCTAATTTTACAGTGTGAATAGTGCCTCTGTTCTCCCTTCTGTACAAAGGTATGTGTGCTGGGAAATAAGTAGAAGATGTTAGGGCGAAAGGAGCAAAATGCAAAAGCCAAATCTGTCCTACAAAGTGCTTTTCAAATGCTTCCCAAGGCTCATGAAGATAATGAAGTTGGTAGTTAGAATGAATACACCCGTTTGTATGTAATTACTTTCTGTGCTTATGATAATTGTGTCACCTCCTTGGAATAAATGAAACAAGATTAAAATGTTTCCATGCCAGGTTTTGACACTGGTATAGGACAGTTGAGTTGGAAATGCCTTTCTTGACATCAACACATAAACTCAGAACAGTATTTTTATCATTCCAGCCAGATGAGCTGTATTTTGAAGAAGGAGATATCATCTACATTTCAGATATGGTAAGTTTATAACCACAGTACAGAAAAAAGCGGATGATGTTGCATTAAATCTCAAATGGAATGGGAATGCCTTTTTCAGGCAATTTTTTTTTTCCTTCAGAGTGACACCAATTGGTGGAAAGGGACCTGTAGAGGACGGACTGGATTGATTCCCAGCAACTACGGTATATTATAATCCAGAATTCTTATGGTTTTCTAGATTTTCTTCTGCACAATAATTTATGACATTTCTTATCTGTGAGCAGAAACTAAAAAGATTATTCTGTAATGTCAGAACTAGAACTTGGAAAAGTTATTTTTGGACTACAAATTCTATTAGCATGGCCAGTTAAAAAATTGAACTTTTCCAAGCTCTAATCAGAACTGGCCTGAAGTAAATGAATGAGTCCAAGAGAGGATCTTAAATGCTTCCTTGTGCTACCATCTTCTGGATTTAAAGAAGCAGAAAATACAATTTGGAAAATATTTAATATCATTTAAAATATGTATTCATTCATTTATTTATAATTATGCCCTAGCGTCCAACCATGCTACTGATTTTTGTGTGTGTGTCAGGAGTGACTTGAGAAACTACAAGTCACTTCTGGTGTGAGAGAATTGGCTGTCTGCAAGGATGTTGCCCAGGGGATGCCCGGATGTTTGATGTTTTTTACCATCCTTGTGGGAGGTTTTACCTTTACCGAACTAGGTAACATTAAGTCTAGTCATTTCCAACTCTGGGGGGTGGTGCTCATCTCCATTTCTAAGCCTAAGATCCAGCCTTGTCCGTAGACACCTCCAAGTTCTTGTGGCCAGCATGACTGCATGGAGTGCTGTTACCTTCCTGCCAGAGCAGTATCTATTAATCTACTCACATTTGCATGTTTTCGAACTGCTAGGTTGGCAGAAGCTGGGGCTAACAGTGGGAGTTCACCCTGCCCTCTGGATTCGAACTGCTGACCTTTCAGTCAGCAAGTTCAGCAAGTCATTGGTTTAAGCCACTGCACCATCGAGGACTCTGAATGTCAGAACTAGAACTTGTTAAAGTTCTAGTATGGAAGAAACCATTTTGTCTTAGGGCTATTTATCAGAGTTTAGTACTTAAACATTGTTTGAAATGACATATCTTTTCTTATATTTTAGTGGCTGAACAAGCAGAATCTATTGACAATCCATTACACGAAGCTGCCAAGAGAGGTAAGCAGATAGCATTTGTAGCATCGAGATCTCTGATATACTCATATGTTGCCAGTCCATTTTCACTAGTTATGGCTGTAGAACAGCTACAGGATCTACCAGAATACTGCCTTAATTAACCAGATTACTTGGAATTTCAGTTTATTTTAGGAGATGCAGTAGATCGTAGCTAGGGTTTTCTTAAAAATATGTGAGTACAAATATATAAATTATCCCCCAACTGGACACTTGGACTTGTTATTGACTTCTCCTTTCTCTTCGTTGATCCTACAATCTGTAGCCTTGTGGAGTAGAGCGTATTTGAAGTGGGATAAGGGGCCATAACGGAAGGAAGACCGTTAATGGACCAACTGTATTGGATACAACCTTACAGAGATGGAATTTATTTATTTATTTAGACAGTAAGGATATTTTCATTCTCTTTAAGAAGAAGAATGCATCCTACAGTTTCTTTATTCCTGACTTGAATATTTGGAGCAAATTGTTAAGCTTCCATGTTCTATATATCCCTAATTTTCTGGATAAATGTATTTTTCTTTTTTGTAAACATGTATGTATTGAACCAATGAAAATGTTGGACAATTTTTAGAGGGCTAAATCTAAGGTTGTGTTGACTCAGCACAAAGATTGGGTCTTTCACTTCATTCATAAAGATGCCTGAAAACAATCTCAACCCTATGATGAAGATTTTTAATTACTTACAGAGTGACAATTGAAGAGAAGATTGTCCCTACCAATTACACTGGAATCTACTATTCTATCAACATTATTTGATACTTCCTCAAACTAGAAATTGAATCATGGTTTTAGATCAAATATTTGGACTGGTTTGACAGTATAATCACAGGGATGTGTTGGGTGGAAGATCCATGGTTGTGGAAACAAGGATTGGTGATAAACTTCAGTTGAGACACCTTTTCGCCATGATTTATTATTTATTTATTTACAGCATTTATATTCCGCCCTTCTCACCCCAAAGGGGACTCAAGTGAATCACAGAACACATACACAGAAAACATTCAATGCTATTAAACAGACAGGATAAACAACAGATAGAGGCATATGTCTGTATTTTTTCCAATTCCGGAGTCCTGGAGGTTGTGCTCGATTCCAGCCACAGGGAGGTGCCATCGCTCCATCCTCTATGACAAAGAGTCCTTGATCACAGACTTTCTCCTTTCTTTCAGCATTTTCTTGTATTTCCTTTTTATGGTGCCATAAAATACCTCTTTGCTTAAGCAATGCCTAATTTCTCTATTCACAGCTCACAGCTGTTTTCGAACTGCTTAGATGGACAGTGAGCTGGGCTGAAGGTTGGGTGCTCTCCTCGACCCGGGCTTTGAACTGCCAACCTTTTGATTGGTGTGATCTATTGCTGCTGGTGATTAACCAGCTGTGCTAAAGCCCAGCCCTGATAACTCTTTCAGGAGTGGTTTTCCTTTCCTAGGAGTAGATTTATCTCACTCCCTGTTGCCTCATTCGTGTTCTTAACTATGAGTCATTTGTAAGTTGGATGTTTGTAACTTGGGGATTGCCTGTATATTGTACATGTAGGATTCCTTTTTTTTAGGTGAGTGATTTGATTGTGAAGTTTGACTATATAGGTACTTCTGTTTTTAAAAGTTTAATATTTAACATGGTCTTCCCTTCAGCACAGATCTTTCTTTGCTCTATCTGATGGGTTTCAAATGAAACACTGCCTTTACATGAGATTTCCATTTCTGCAATAACACCATAATTTAGGAATTTTATAAAAAATATACAGTAATACAAATGTAAACTGAAACACATTTTCAGCCTGTGATTTTCACAGCTTCCAATTTAATAACAGGTTTTTAAATTTGTGTTTCAGGAAACCTGAGCTGGTTGAGAGAATGTTTGGATAACAGAGTTGGTGTCAACGGTTTAGATAAAGCTGGAAGTACAGCTTTGTACTGGGCATGTCATGCTGGACACAAAGGTAGGAATATATGAATATGTTAGTTAAAAATGATCTCACTTCTCCTTTTTCTAAACCTAAGCCTTTTCCTTTCCTCATTCACACCATTTAAAAAAATAGAACGAAATATTTCTTGTGTACTTTTCAGCCTTATGTATTACAGTTTTTGCTCACATTTTTCTAGAGTAATGCATTTTGTCTGTGTTTTTTCAAAATTATAACATTTTTGTCTACGCTTGCTCTTAGCATATGCATTTTTACATTCAGTTATTGATTGGAGAACTGTACTGGAAAATTTGAAGAAGCATGAATTCCCAAAAATAATTATGTTTCATCTTGTGCATTGGGTTGGAAAATGTGAAGTAAATTCACATAAAGTTGTAACCTGAACAAACTCCCAAACATAGCCATAATGTAACTGAATCAGGATGAATTACAGTCTTACTGGTTTTGTATTTGCTGAGTTAATGAACCAGCTACTACTTGCTCTCCCAATGCCATATATAATGCAGTCCAAATTTCTGTATGATATCATTTAAATTGTGGGGAGTAAAGGGGTTGTTGGAGGCTAATAAATTAACATATTAGAAAGAAACTTATAAAAATAAACATGTGTCAAAAGGAATGGGTGTCTAAATTCAAAAGAATAATAAATCAGAAAAATAAAAGAATTGATTCTGAATTAGGAAGATGAGGGGGACAAAGAGAGTGTTGAATAATTTTAGATGCATTTTTCTGTGTAGTGCTTGTCCATCCAACTTTACAGGTTTTTTTAAAAAAACACATGGACATTTTGAGTGACATTCTGACTGCCATGCAATATCATGAATGCAAGCAAAAATGTTCTATCTTTTCATGAAGTTTTCCTTTTTATTTTATGTAGACATAGTGGAAGTTTTACTGGGGCAGCCAAATGTAGAGCTAAATCAACAGGTAAGTAATCATACACTGAATGAATTTCAAAGGAAGCGGCCTCCAGTAATATGACTGGTTGTCGCTGGAATGAGCTAAACACGTTATAATCTGATGAGTGTTATCTTCTGCTTCCACAGAATAAACTGGGAGACACAGCTTTGCATGCCGCTGCATGGAAGGGCTATGCAGACATTGTAGAAACACTCCTGGCAAAAGGTAATGTAATTCATGTTTCAGAAAGATAATAGAAGAAGAAAATTAGAGATTGTAATGCAGCAGGGAGGTGGACTGATGCAGAAGTATTAAGAATATAAGCATGAGAAACAACAGTGGAAGGACTAGCTTGTGTCTTCCTACCTCAGGACCAGGACACCTTGGACCATCTTTTTCTTTGGCAGTAGAGTTAACCATAGCAATAATGAACTGCTGTATTATTTTTTTCTAGATTGGGGCATATTTCCCCTTATTTTTGTCTGTGGCAGGAGCGGGCAATCATGCAAGCCTGAAATCTACATTAGAGAACTGTTCCCCATCACGAAAAATGTCCAAATACCCCAAGGGATGTTTTATCCCTTTTAAAAATGAGGTAATCAGAATCACCCCCTGGGGACAAAAGGCCTGTTGTTGTTTTTGTTGTTGTGAGCCTTCAAGTCATTTTTTTACCCAAAAGCAAACCTATCATGGGGTTGTCTTGGTAAGATGTGTCCAGAGGGAGAACCACTTTACCAACCCTGATTTGAGCAGTGCTGCTTTTTTTGAGAGTGTTTCATGATAATTTTGACATGGTCTGAATAAGGATTATGAGCAAGGATTATAGATGAATGGGATCATGAACTTTATACGTTTTCAACTGGTTTTTATTCTATGTATTTGATTTGCTTACTGTCTTAACTGTTTTTAGTTTATGGGATATGTTTTATAACTATGTTAAGTGGCATTGAATCTTGCCAGAGTTTATTTATTTATTATTTATTTACTACAGAGCGGCTTACAAGTTATATGTAAATACAATATATTATATTATTAGCATAGCACAATATTAGTACCATACATTCCCATATTATACCACTATACTGCAATATTATTAGTAATATTACATGTAATATGAAATATATAATTATTATATTGTATTATTATTAGTATTATATTGTATTACATTATATTATTATCAATATTATAATACATTATATTATTATAATTATTATAATTGTAAATTGTAAGCTGCCTTGAGTCCCCCTGCGGGGGTGAGAAAGGCAGGGTACAAATGAAGCAAACAAACAAACAAACAAACAAATAAATAATACTTTCCTTCAGAATTTAACATTCACTATCAATCAATCAATTTATTAATGCTCTGACCAATCATCATATGCATTTACACCAACAGAAACATCATCTAACAAGCATCTATACAAAACACTGTAAAATCCAACAGTTAAAAGTACTATACTTTGGCATATGTAGGTTGAAAGCCTATCATTTGGTATATCTAGGATGTCAGAAAAATCAATTCGGTTTTGGGCAAAAAATGCTGCTAACAATAGTGAACATGTGTGGCTATAGCTTTTATTATCTATGAATTGGTATAATAGTGATGTGCTCTGTTTTCTTTTTCCACAGGTGCTAGAACAGATTTAAGAAACAATGAGAAGAAATTGGCCCTGGACATGGCCACGGATGCAACGTGTGCTTCTCTGCTTAAAAAGAAACAAGGACAAAGTAAGATTCGAAAAACATGCATACAGCAGTAAACTTCCAACTATCTTTCTGATATTCCCCAGAAAAATAGCCCCAAAGTAGCATTATGTGGTGAGGTTAGGAATGGTCTAGTCTAGTGGGTTGTGAGCCCTGCATTCAAAGAAACACTTCCAAGCTCTGGGTGAGACTCTGCTTGGGCAGTTGTTCTGTTTCATTCATGAAACAACAACTTCCATTTGGAAACTTCAAATGCGTTCTTGGTATTTCTTCTTTCCTCCACACAAAATCTTTTCTCGGGGACACAAAGATGGAGCACCATTTCTTTTAACTGCTATCTTTGGGCACCATCAACTGTAGAAATAATTGAAGAATCTATACTGCAGGGTGAATAAATTGTAGCCATTGATCAACTTGGCCCTCTAAAGTGCTTTCTATGCACTGCCACTAGCATTGTTGCTGCTGCTGTTGTTGTGTGCCTTCAAATCATTTCTTATTTATGGCAACCCTAAAACGAACCCACCATGGGGCTTTCTTGGCCAGGTTTTGTTCAGAGGGGATTTGCTTTTGCCTTCCTCTGATATAAACCCTGGTCTTCAGCGTTGCAATCAGCACTCTAACCACTACACCATGCTGGCTCTCTTTATGGCCATTTTAAGTTGTTGAAGACCACAGATTTGAATAGCAGATTCTAAAACAGGCATGGGTAAACTTTCTAACTTGGGGGCCGCATGCTAGAACTCCCTGTTAAGAGGCCTGACTGTCCCGTGATGGAAGAGGAAGGAAGGGAAGGAGAAAGGAAAAAGACAAGGAAGGGAGGGAGGGAAGGATGGAAGGAGAAAAAGATAAGGAAGGGGAGGAGGGAGGTAAGAAGGAAGGAAAGAAAGAGAAAAGTAAAGACAAAGGGGAAGGAAGGATGAAAGCGTGGAAGGGAAGGAGGAAAAAAAAGAGAAGAAAGGGAAGAGAGTAGGAAAGGACGGACAGAAAAGTGGAAGGGAAGGAGGGAGGAAGGGAGGGAAGGGAGGGAGGAAGGAAAGACAAAAGGGAAGGAAGGAAGGATGGAAGGAAGGAAGGAGAAAGAAGGAGAGAGGGAAAGAGGGAAGGAAGGAGGAAAGGATGGAARGGAAGGAAGGAGGGAGGGAGAAGGAGGGAAGRAGGAAGGAAGGATAGGAGGGCCTGAGAAAAGAGTCCAGGGGGCTGCATGCGGCCCATGGGCCTGAGTTTGCCCATACCTGTTCTAAAACATCAAAAATCCCCTGCTACTAAGTGATAATTTTGCATGCTCTTTGTTTTTCATTTCAGACATAATGCGAACATTAAGCAATGCAGAAGAGTACCTTGATGATGAAGATTCTGACTAAGTTTCCTTAATACTGTTTTGAAAAATCCACAACCTCTGTTGCCTCTACCTTTCTCAAATACTCCATTCCTCAAATTACAAAGTGTACTTTTAACATATATGAAGTGTTACGATCATGTAAATCAGAGGTTTTTTTCACCAGGTAAAATATCCTCCTCGTATTAAGGGCCATAAATTCTTGTGTTGCTTTTAAATATTTGTTTTTTCTAAAGAGTGTATGTGTGATGAATTTTCCTATAAATTACTTGTTACACTGGCTATAGACCTAGCCTTTAAAAACAAGGATATAATTTGGGATATGTATATATGTGTATATAAACCTATTTTCAGAGTGAAAAGCCATCTTTAATCTATCTGCCATGATTATCTTTACAGAGTGAAATATTCTAGCAGATTAGTTGATATTTGCCTTAATTCATCTTGACACTTTTCTCTTTCATTTTCTCTGTCACTCTTTCTCCCCTCTCCATATGAAGGTGCTGGGAGCCCAGATTTGTACAATGGAAAGGGAAATGTATTAATATAGGCAAAATGCCCCTAAGGGTATCGGGGCAGAAAATTTCATGTTCCTTTTAAATCTGGCCATGGCTATTACTGTTTATGTACATTGCCTGCTCTTTCTATAAATGATCTACAGCAGTAGAATGGTGTTAGCGGAGGCTGGATCTACACTGCCCTATATCCCATGATCTGATTCCAGATTACCTGCTTTATCCCAGATTATCTGGCAGTGTAGACTCATATAATATAATACAGCCAGAGAGAAGAAAAAGCATTTTACTATGGCTCCTTCCATGCTGCCATATAAAATCCAAATTATCTGCTTTGAACTGGATTATATGGCAGTGTAGATTCATATAATCGAGTTCAAAGCAGATATTGTGGATTATCTACTTTGGTAATCTGTTTTATATGGCAGTATAAAAGGGGGCTTTGTCAGCTATCACAAGAAGCTAGAAATGTCTCAGTCCACCAGCTGTTTAGAGGATAATGGAAACTTGGCCCTTCTTCCACTCTGGAATGAATTTGGGAGTTGTAATTTTACAAGATCTTTAGTCTTCTTTAGCTTTTTCTGTCAAAAAGTGCTTCTGCCTCATCATATTACAAATCCCAGGATTCCATCACATTGACGCATGGCAGTTAAAGTTGTGTCAAGATTCCATTAATTCTACAGTGTAGATTCATCTTTCCTCTCAGAATGGGATAGGGAGGAAGTCCAAAGCCTGCACAAAGAAGTAAATGTCAGGAGAGGGAAATAGTTTGCAATACTGCTGTAAAATACAAATCTGTGGGTGGTTTTCAACCTTTGGTCCTCCAGATGATTTGAACTTTATCCAAGAAGTTCCAGCCAATATGTAGGAATTCTAAAAGCTAAAGTCCAAAATATCTGGAGGACTAAAACTATCTATATATAAAACCCTCATTCCAATTGAATCTTATTTTAGCAGATAATATTAATATGGGAGTTATTATTGATTTCCTTTCTCTCAAATTCTTAGAGCAGTGGTTCTCAGTGTCTTGCCCTCAGGCTACTTTCAATTTTGGTTCCCAAAAGTACCAACCAGCATGGCCATGGTGAAGGAGTCTTGTTGTCCAAACAGCTGGAGAACCAAAGGTTGAGAACCTCTAACTATATCAGTACTCCCTTTGTAGGTGTGTGTGTTTTTTTTAAAAAAAATCCCTCTGGCCTCCATTCTTCTGAGCATGCCTATAACTCAATAAGATCATCAACAGTGTTCCTAGTTTCCTTTCCAAATAGCTGATTGGTGATGTTGTTGTTTTCTGTTTTTTTCATGTCAGGAGCGACTTGAGAAACTGTAAGTTGCTTCTGGTGTGAGAGAATTGGCCATCTGAAAGGATGTTGCCCAGGGGACACCTGGATGTTTTACCATTCTGTGGGGGGCTTCTCTAATGTCCCAATATGAGAAGCTGGAGTTGACAGATGGGAGCTCACCCCACTCCCTGGATTTGAACTGTTGAGCTTTTGGTCAGCAGTTCTGCCGGCACAAGGATTTAACCCATTGTGCCACTGGGGGCTCCTGTTGCTGTGAAGAGGACCAAATGTAGACTGGGGATGTAATTCTGCACTAAGGCTGGGTTTACACTGCCATATAATGCACTTTGAACTTGCATTATATAACAGTGGTTCTCAACCTGTGGGTCCCCAGATGTTTTGTCCTTCAAGTCCCAGAAATCCTAACAGCTGTTGAATTGGCTGGGATTTCTGGGAGTTGTAGGCCAAAACACCTGAGGACCCACAGGATGATAACCACTAGTCTACACTAACCATATCACACAGTTCAGACTGCATTATGTGGCAGTATAAATCCAGTCTAAGTTTCTTCTTGAAGGTAGCAATGATTTCAGCAATTTTCATCCCATTGCAGGGAAGTCTTAGAAAGCCATGCAGTTTTATAATGTTCTTGATTCGTAATTTCTTCCATGCAAAATGAATATGCGTTCAATGCAGAAAGATTAATTCCTGTGCTAAAGTGGTTTCCTGTGCAAAAATGTTACTTTCTATGTAAACCAACAATTTGTGAATTTTGCACAGAAATCCCCAATTTCAGTTTGTTTCTGTGGTGCAAACACCATTCTCTTCTTAAGAATTAATGTGCACTGAAATAATATTTTCCATGCAAAAAATACTGTTTAGTGCACTGAAAATGCTATTTTCCATGCAAAATATCCATATGTGGATTATACATGGAATAAAACCTGAATTGGGAAGATTCTTGGTAGTCTAGGATTTCATGTTTTTCAACTGTTTTTAAAGTGGTTATAAATATTCCTTTCATCCCTATTGTAGACACAATGTGCCAAATCATATTTTCGGAGTTCTGCTCTTGAGAGGCAAATGTATACAGAAGCCACCTTGCCCAGTCAGGGAATTCTTTTAAATGAAAATCCCTTTCTTGGATACAAACTGGCTACATTGTAGTAACATTTGCAAAGTATTTGCATTCACATCTGTAGCAGGGAGGTGGAGACTGTTTCTGCCCTTTTGCTCTTTTGCATTTTTCTCAGTTTCTTCCATTTTTTCTCAAATACCCTTGCTCCTCTTTACTTCTGTTACCTCAGAACGGATGTGTTTCTAAAATCATTTACATGGTGGAAAAATCGTAAACCAAAAGTATCTTCAGAAAACAATCCAGTATCAATAAATACATTAAAATGCTTTGACCTGTACTTGCACTTTGTCTTGTGAAATGTAAGGATTTGCTTGTGTTGGGATTAATAAGGGCCTTGCTAGGTTGGATCTACACTGAAGAATTAATGCAGTTTGGCATCACTTTAATTGCCCTGTCTTAATACTACAGGATCTTGGGATTTGCAGTTTAGTGAGGTACCAGCAGTCTTTGGCGGTGAAGACTGAAGTCTTTATAAAACGACAACTCATAGGAATCCATAGCGGTGCGTCATGGCAGTTAAAGTGGTGGCAAATTGTATTAATTATACAGCATAGATGCACACCCAAGTCGTAAAATCAGGCCTACTCGTAGTAAGAATAAGATGACTCCTTAATCTCAATACTGCTTTCAAGAGAGGGGTGAGAGGAATGGAAATGTCCTTGTGATCTTTCAGCACCAGGTACCAAAAGAACAACTTGTTTTGAGTTCACTTATACTACTGGGATGGCAAGGGTGCCAATTTGTACTTTGTTTCTTGCAGTAGATTATTTATTTATTTACTGCATTTATATACCGTTTTTCTCACCTCTGAGAGGACTCAAAGCAGTTTCCAACATAATAGTGGCAAAATTCAATGCTGTACATTCATGCGAAAACCAAAACATAATTTCTAGAAATTAACATATACTGTAAGAACCTTAACCATGTTACACATATCAGCATAAAACAACATATACATTAAAATGCATCATTAAAACATATCAATTAAAACAGTTATTTAAAATCACACAATCCAGGAGCATAAGTCAGGAGCCATTCCAATTGTCATCTGTAATAATTCATTATTTCACTGAGATATCAATTGTTGCACTATCACTGTGCACTATCACTGTGCAAGGGTGGTAAAACATCAAAACATCTGGGCGTCCCCTGGGCAATGTCCTTGCAGACGGCCAATTCTCTCACACCAGAAGCAACTTACAGTTTCTCAAGTCGCTCCTGACACAACAACAACAAAAAAAAAACTGCACACACTACAGCAGTAAGCCTTAGGGGATGGCAGCTTCTGTCTTAATAGAGTTCTGCTAATGAAGATATATTCAAAAAGGGTATCAAGAACGTGAAGCTATAAATCCATTTTAAAGGCACATGCTTACCCTCTAGTTCTGATGCAATCTTTAGTGTTTCCCGTTCATTAACATCTATTGGAACATTCACCATTCATTGCAATAAGTTCTTTTCTCCCTGTTTGCACATGAAATTAAGTTCTTAAAATGTTTCATTTTACAAGGCTCTTACTGCTCTGGGCATGTTTATAACACAAATAGCTCCATGTAATTTACTGTAGATGTTATGAGATTTTCACTGTATGCTCTTGTCCTAGCTGCATAATTGAAGAGAAAGGTTGCAACACAGTGCGGGATGTGTAAACCATGCATGCAAGTAATTTCATTGCACAGCAATCAGTCTTTTTTATTTCTATATTAACTAGATCTTCCCCAAGGGGTATTTATTATACATTCATTTGCACAATGTACATATTTTACAATGAAAATGGGTTACTTTTAATAAGCAATTCTGAACCAACCAAGAATGATTTTTATTATTGGTACATCTGCATTCCAGTTATACGCTTTATGGAAACCTTTGCAAAAAAAAATCTAACATATACTTTCTAGTTATAGAGCATCACTGTATTATTGCATAGAAATCTTGATAACTTTCAATGTAGATAAAAGCCATGCAATGATATTTCAGACTAATCCTATGTTTTACTCATTTGTTGCATTTTTTTTATTTCCTTCAACATTTGTTCTATTTGATTTTTATTTCCTGAATAGTACAATCTGAGTGTTACCGTTCTTCCTATTATTTTCCCTTTCAAAAACATAAAGGTTGTGGGCAGGAAGAACTTGGAGATTGTTTTACTACTGCTTTGGTTGTTTTATTTTTGCATTTATGTTTTTTGATTTATTTTGAATTGGGAAATTTAGGTTGAATTGTTTTTAGATGGTATTCTATACCAGAAAGATGATGAAGTTATATAAGAGTTTCACTAACTTGTGTTGGAAGTGTAATCAAAAAGAGTGAACTTTTTATTCTACACAGTGGACATATGATAAGGCAAAAGAAAAAAATATATGTTGGACCTCATCTTGAAATTAAACATTTCAGCTGAAACCAGGACTCTTCTTATTGGGGCTGATGGGTAAAAAGATGAAAAAGAAATATGGAAGAATTTCTCTGTATATACAAGTCTTAGACTTCTGTATGCAGAGAGGCGGAAAGATATAGCAGTCCCATCAGAAGAAAATGGACTGATGAAACTGTCTGATTTAACTGAGATAGAATAACAGTCTTGATTAGAGAAAAATCATTGTTATTTATAAAAAGATCAGAAACTAATAATAGCTTTTCTGCATGGAATATTGGGGAAATTATCAATATTAACACTTGAAGATCAGGAAATTTATGTAACGGAAGTACATTTATGAAACTTTGACTTACAAGCAAACCAACCTATGAGTTTTTTGAGATACGAGCCATGGCTCGGTCCATTTTTTTTGCTTTGACATTCAGACTGGGATTTGATTTAAGAGCTAGCGTGAGAGTACACCGCCCACCATCTTAAGCAGGAATTTAAGGGCGCATCCAGGAAAGCTCTTGTCCTTGTTGTTATTTCTGCAATTCCAGGGCTTTGGGAGATTGTAGAAAAGCTCAGGGGCCAGAAGTCTATCATAAGTAAACTTATATCCTGATTAAAATAGGCAAGTTACACAGATACCTGTCATTCTAATTTGTTATTAGAACCATGGGTCCTAAGAAAGTGATTGCCAAGAAGAAAAGGTTTTTTTTTTGGGGGGGGGGGCTGGAATGGATTAGTAGCATTTCAATTCATTTCAATGGGGAAATTTGATTTGATGTAAGAGCAATTTGAATTAAGAGCTCAGTCACAGAACAAATTAAACTCATAAGTCAAGGTATCACTGTATAATTACAGCAAGTAAGGGAACTTGAGAATTATAGCCATTAGGTGGGAAGTAGTTGGAAGTTTGTGTCCCCTTTTTATCTTTGTACTTTTCTATGGTAGTGTGCTAATGAAGTTTTTCGTAAAGTTTTCTTATTTGTGGCAGAAGCTTAGTTCCTTTGTATTTTGTCATTTTCCCTCTCTTTTTCCTTGTATGTTTGTTGTTTTATATTTTAATCTTGTTGTTTAACACTTGCATTCAGGATCCTGTTCCTCGTTTTTTTATTTTCCTTCATTTTGACACCAGCAAATATTGGTCAATTTTCTTTCTCCTTTCATAATCTTCTATGACAACAATTCTATGACATAGGAAATATTTGGATTTTTTAAAAGTAGGAAATAGTGCAAATAAATAAAATTGAATATATAAACTTTGACAGTTAATAAAATATTGGTGCTCTGAGCAATTTTGAAATAAGTCCTTTACCTACTGGATTAAGATTGAAATAATTTTCAAAGTTTTAATCATTTTAAGCATGGAAGAAAAATCTGGCTTATTTCTTTGGCAAGATGATTAAGATTATTGCTGGTGGCATGGAAAGGGCAAGTGGAGTGGGCATAAATCTAGATTGAAATGAGCTTTACTTTTTCCTGATTTGAGGGAACAGAGATGCTAGCAGGCAGAGACAGCAACACCTCACTACAGTAATCCAACTTGTAATACAATCTTTGTGCTAAGTCTAATACAGTACAAGGGATAGTACTTGCCTGAAGCTATAGGTCTGATACTTCTGTTAGGACAGAATATGCCATGCCATTAGGAGGTGGAAACGGTTGATTGCAAGTTGAGAGTTCTTCAGTTTTTTGGTCTATAAAAGCCAAAGTGTGGTTTTTATTGACTTTTTAAGCCAAAGGAGCTAAGCCATCAATAGAACAATCTTTTTCATGTCTACCCAAACAAAAGGTCTGTTTAGTTCAGTGCAAACAATGTAGGGTCAACACATAAGTCCCATGCACTTCTTCTTATTGTCTATACAGTGAGACATTGGCTTGTTTTTGTATTTAAAAAAAGATGGTGGCAAGATATAAAATGATATGTGCCATCATTCTGAATGTTTTAAGGGTCCCTTTTTGTCAGAAAAAATGCAATATAAATAAAATCAGATAGATAAATAAATAATTGGGAGTTGCCAATGAGAGAATTTGGAGAATTCTGCACTACGTTGTGAAATCCTGTATAAAAGGAAGCCAGATGAGGATAGATTGATGTAAACAAAAGTCTACAGTTCTTCTCTATTACCCTTTGCTCTATTCCTAGTCTCAGGGTAAAAATAGCGGATATAATAATAAAACACTGAAAAAGCTATGTAACAGTTTTCTGCTTCCAACTCATCAAGAAGTCAGTAAAAACTCATATGCAAATACATGACTAAGAAGACAAAATACTGTGTATGAGCAAGTCCACACATTGCCAAGAAAGCAAAGTTTGGTGCCTCTTTTTATACTTTAGGAAAGGTAGACATTTAATTCTAGGGCAGTAAAGTGTAGAATCCTAACATTTAGCACTAAAATTATATACTAGTGGATTGACGTGTTAGCCATTTACTGTCTCTTAGAAAGGAAAAAGTTATCTTACATGTCTACATTTTCTCAGCAAAGATTTAATTGTAGGATATAATGGAAATGTTTGACAAATTCCTTTTTCTGAGATGGCAATTTGTTTTCGCCTACGCAATATGCTCACGTAGTCTGAGGGCTCAACTAGACATGACAATTAAAGGGGGCGGGGAATCTAACTGCAGATGAGACACTGGAAATGTAGCCTGAATCATGACTGGGAGAAGACAATTAATCCTTTTTGGAATCTTTCTCCCCAATCATTCCAAAATGACTTGTATTTCCCTTCCAAGTTCAAAGATCACATAGTATCTGTATGCACTAAATTGCTTTGGGGAAAACTGATGCATGCGAAAGGGTTAAACCTGTCACCAATCTGTATACATGATACCAATCTAACCTCTTATGTAGCTGCCATTAATTTTTGCTAAATCCAGATGAGATTGTGAAATCTCTCATTCTGCATTTCATTT